GGACCCCCCAACATCATAACTCCCGCCGTGGCGGCGCCGCCAGGTCCGTCACCGCCGCCAGTGCGTCCAGGGTACAGCAGGTCGCGGCGGCTGCCGCCGCCGCCGCCGCCGTCGCGACCCAGCGGCGGAGCACTTGGCCCCCATGCCGAGGCCATCCACATATCTTGATTGCGGTGCGAGTCCATTGCCGCCGGCGGCGCGAGCGGCTGCGGCGGCGGCGGGGCTGATGGCGCCAACTGTTGCTGCGGTGGCGGCGCCGCCGCTGCCGTGGCTGGCAGTACGGCACCCGATGTGCCGACCGGCCCTTGTGGCCCCGGTAGCGGATGCACGTGCTGCTGAGAGTTCATATGTGTATTGTTGTGACGTTGGGCGTGTGCGTTGACGTGGGTGTTGTTGTACGACTCTCCGGGGACCCCCGTTGCACTAATAGCAGCCCCGCGCATATGCTGTTGGTACTGCTGTTGGTACTGCTGATGCTGATGGTGGTGGGTATAGGTATGATGGTGCTGTAAGTGATAATGTTCGTGCGGATGACGGCCGTTGTAATAGCTATGGTGGGGGTGGTGGGGAGGGTACTCAGGGCTGTCGTGATGGGGGTGAAGATTCACTGGTGGACCTGGGGGGAAGGGGGAGGTACCCGGGGGCGGGCCGCCGCTACCGGCGGAGCCGAGGTGCCGTTGTCCAGCACCAGCGGCTGTAGCAGCGACGGCGGCTGGCGCGGCGGCGGCAGCGGCGGCACTGCCGTCAGGCCACAGCGCTGGATCAGCAGCCGCCAGACGAAGCTGTCCTGCGGATGGCGCCATGGCCCCGGATGGTGTTGGCGCACTCGCCGGCGCTGTTGCTGCATGGGACTGCTGCTGCTGCTGTAGTGGCGGTGGCGGCGGCGGCGGCGGTGAAGGCTGCTGCTGCTGCCGATGTTGCTGCTGCATTTGCAGCTGTAGCTTGCGGTGCTGAAGCTGTTGCAGCTGCTGCTCAAGGCTCGCTTGCTGCTGCTCGAGCTGTTGAAGCTGCAAATCTGTCAAGGCCTGGTTCGGCATCGGACGCTGATCATGATGTTGGCGCGATTGCTCCATCGCCGCCGCCGGGCCGCTACGTTCCGCCGCCGCTGGCATGTGACCAGCAGTAGCAGCAGCAGCAGCAGCAGCATTAGCCGTCGAATCTTCCACCGCAGACGCGGCCGACGGCGCTGCCGGCGGAAGCCAGTCCGGCACCGCTCGCTGTCCCCCGGGGACACGGTTGTTGCCACCGGCATGGAAAGCGCCAGCCGCCGAATCTTGATTGTACGGCAGGTCACTGCCGCCGCCGCCATCCAGCGCAGGTGGCCCAGCGCGCCGCTCCGACATGCATAAGTAAGCACAGGCGGCAGCGACAGACCCGGCGGCCGCAGCGCCAGCGGCGGCCGCCTGCTTGCCGACATCCGCCGCGGCGGTGGCGGCGCCCGGATCCCGGAACCAGCCACTGTCGCCGCCACCCTCCCGCATCACGTCATGCATGATATCGTACAACTGCTCGTCCAACGACGCGCCGGTGGAGGATGGCATGCCGCGAAACGCCGCCACTGGCCCCGGGGAAATGCCCAGCAGTGATTCCAGCATCTGACGGTCCGTGTAACTTAGGTCCGCCCTATTGCTGAGGGCCTGCAACGCCAGAGGCACATCTGCCGCCGCCGCCGCCGCCGCAGCGGCTGCACTGCCGCCGCCGGGCCCTCCGACCGCACCCATGTCCGTCTGCAAACCCAGACTTAGCATCGGGGCACCGGGAAACGGCGGCTGCTCCCCGCGAAGCCGCCTGGTGATGGCGGCCTCGGCCGCCGTAGCGGCGGCGGCGGAGACATAGGCGTCGCTGCGCTGCGCCGGCTCCGTCCCAAGTCCCGAGATGCTGTCGTACAGCGCGGCGTCACCACCGCCGTGGTTGCCTTGCAGTACGCGGCCGACGCGAGAGGGCGCCACATGGCCCTTGGCGGGGTCCTGCCAGCAGGTCAACGCCTGTGACTGCTGCTGCTGCTGCTGCTGCATGGGAAGCAGTCGAAGCGTGTTCTGCTGCTGCTGGTGCTGCTGGTGCTGCTGGTGCTGCTGGTGCTGCTGGTGCGTCGGGTGGTGCGCCACGGGTGGCTGGCACAGCTGCAGGACCTGCGGGTGTTGTTGCATGTTAGGGGAGCCGCCACTCCGAGCCGCAGAGATGCTCGATGTCGGTGGGGGATCCGATGCCGCCGCGCCGCCCCAAGCGCCCGCCCTGCTCCTCTGGGGTGGTGAAGGAATTCCAAAAGTAAGACAGGCGGGCGGGGGCAAGGGGGAAATCACATGATGCAAGGAAACCAAAAAGGAACTGCCATAAGGCGTCCAGAGTCCAACACTGCCCCTAGTGAGTCCTGAGCGATGATGAGGGTGGGAGGAAGGACGATGAACCACGTGGACGAATGAAGCTGGCGCCAAAAGGATAGACTGATGACACGCCAAAAGTATGCAAAACGTAACAAAACAGTCGCGACTTGTGAAGAAGGGATCTTCGCGGTGATGTTAATAGTCATCAAAATAGCAGAAAACTACCTGCCTAGCCGCCGAGGCTAAAATAAAATGCGAAAAGAAAGCAGAAAAAACTCGGCTGTAGTATTCTAAAAGTAAGTGTCAAAAAGGCGACGAAGAGCAAAAGGTATAGTAGAAAGGGGGGAAAGACGAACTACAAACGAGTGAAGCTGCTGCCAGGGCAAGAGGGGGGAGGGAAAAGAGAGTCTACCATGCCTGTCCGTCTGCCCGTCTGTCGCCTCACCGAGGGCTCCGTCGTATCCTCGCTGTGCAGGTCCAGTCTCAGGCCCGAGGTGAGGGGCGCCAGAGCCGCGTCCACCTCATCGTTGACGTCCTGGAAACGTATCAACACGACAAAACACAACATGATGACATACATACAGGAAGACACATCGTCACGCATTTCAAATTTTCTTCCCCCTTCCCTCTGGGTGCGGCGCGATGCGGGGCATGCGAGCAACTGAGATGAAATGTTTTCTTATTTCGTTTCGTTGTTTTTTCCTTTCTCGGCATGATAAACTCTCGACTAACAAACCCAAAGTCGGTCCGCTAAAACTCGCAGAAGCCCCCCAGTTAGATGGTCGGCTATGACCACCCCGGACGACGTTAGTGAAAACAAAACGGTACGACAACAATTACGTGGCAGTACTGCGCCGTACGGCGCGCCGTCTGTCCCCGCTTCCCGAGTGCTCCTTCCCTTCCAGCAAAAACATATTCTGGAGCCCGCCGTATTCCTTACCGAGTTGCCGTAGCTGGGCAAAGTACGGCTCTCCGAGTTACTCTCATCCTGTTTCGTTCCATCCAGAAGGTCGGGTGGGGAGAGGCACGAGGGAGGTGTGTGTGTGGGGGGGGAGGGAAAGATACGTGCCATATCAAGGAATTGCGGCCCGTTGTGGCCACCACGATTAGGCCACAACGCAACGGAATTGAGGGGTGCAGGACACACGCGGAAGGGTCGAGAAGGGGCTTTGGCAGTTTTAGAGTTCAGGGTTGCCCGTCTCGTGACTCCCCGCCCTCCGAGCCATGAACCATGACAACCGACAACTGCCTGGGGCTCGGCAATCCCGGGTGACGGAAACCCACCTGGAGCAGAGCGGGGAGGTCGTACGAGAGAGGGGCTGGGGGGGGGGGAGGCGGTCATAAAGTTTGACACAAACCCGCCGACCGCTGCTCTCTTCACCCCCACCCCTTCCAACCCCCCTCTTTTCACCCCCCAGTGGCCCTCGTGCAACCCTCACACGGCTACCTACCCAACCCACCCACCCACCCACCAACCCAAGTGCCTCCATCCCTTACCAAACCAACTCACCCTGGGACGCGCCAGCAGAACCCGCTGCTGCTGCTGCTGTTGTTGTTGTCCTCCCTTCTTCTGCCGCGAGTACGGCACCGACTGCCAGTCCGGCAAGGAGCCCCCCGGCGTCGTCATCGCCACGTCGCACGCCCCCGCCACCTCCCAATCCGCCCTCTTCTCCGCCCCCGCAGTCACATCCGCCGCGACACTAGCCGACCCCGACACCGCCAGCTTGGTTCTCTTCGTCGGACCAGACCGCAACTGGCTGCTCCAATCCTCCGCGTCAGCATGGGGAACCCAGCTGTACGGCAGACCCGGCGCTGCGTCCCAACACCGCGTATCGGGCTCCCCCGATGAGCCCCCCGAGAGGGCTCCCTGGGCTGGGGAGGGCGACGTCCTGGGGTGCGGATGACCGCCGCCACGGCGCCCGACGCCGTCAATGGCGGCGGCGCCGGCGGCGGCTGAGTCCGTGTCCGCGCGCTCCGCAGTCGCGTCATTGGGGCTCGCGAATGGCGCTCGCGGCTTTTGCCGTTGGGGTTTGTTGTCCTGTGGGGGCTCCCTCGTGGGTTGGTCGTCTTCTAGCTCGTCCGAGGTGTGATGTGCGGCGGCGCGTTTGACGAGCTGGCTTCGGTACTTGGCGGCATTGCGCCGGAAGAGCCGCAGACGGCAGCTCCTGACGGGGTAGGGGTTGTGGGTTTGGTCGGGTTTGGTCAGGTTTGGTCAGGTTTGGTTGGGTGCCTTTGGGTTGGACGGTCTGCATCTGACGAGGAGGTTGTCGTCCGCGGTGGCGGCCGTGGCGGCCGTGGCGGTGAGTGAGTCAAGCAGCCGTAGATGTTGATTTGGAAAGCAGGACACGGTCTCTTACGGCCCCACGCATGTGCGGATTGTGTGTCGTTTGTCTGTATGTCTTAATTAATTTTAGGATGACGGCGCTATAGAGAGTCGAAGAGCCTCCGAGGCAGCGTTAGAACAGGTAAGTGCGAGCGCGTGCGCGCATGTGCGTACGTTAATGCATATAACATGTCACGTTAAAAATTGCACGTGCATGTGAGTGTGCTCGTGAAACAAGGCCATGGGGCGGCTGTGGGCAAATCACGCTGCGCATCAGCGCTCGTTATGGAAGCATCAGCACCGGCTGTCAGAGGAGCAGGCTCAACAAATACACGTAGCGCCATTGCCTCGGAATTCACTTTCTCTTTTGCATACCTGTTCCCCCCGTCGAATGCAGCAAGACGCTCAAATTTTGCACACTGCTGACAGAAGCGCATCTCCACATTATCGATAAGGACTGCCGCCGACACAGCATGAGACTGGCATACCAGGTGCCGCTTGAAGTATGGCTGTATTTTTTTGTGAAACCATAGGAAGGGCAAAAATGTAAAGCAGGTGATGTAAGGGACATAAGCGCACTAGTCGCAGCAGCCCCAAAGTAGAAGCACGCGCAACAGGTTTTCCCGAGCTGTGACGCCAGTCCTCCCCTGAAAGAACAGTAACTAAATCACACGGTAAAGTTGAAGGAGGGCCATACCTTGCAGTCCACCAACAGCTCCGTGCAACCCGGCACCTGCAGGGGTACCGTAAATTGTCCACAGTGAGCCCTAAAATGACAGTGAAACTTGACACCAGGAAGTATTGCAAATGCAGTGCGACGGCGCTGGAAAAATTCTCCAACTTCTCTGTCGTATCAAGCGCACCTGGCAAGCTGCGCGGCTAATGCTCCTGCCTCGACTTTTTTGCACCTTTCCAGTTATGCCATCTGTAGCACGGGGTGCAATACGATAGCGTTATCGAGCATGCAGTAGACAGGAAACTAGGAGCAAATTTAGGAAATGGCTATAGGCATAAGGCATTAGACTTACCGCCCACAGGCCCTGTTGCATGGCAAGTCATCGTGATGGGGTTCCACAGCGTACCGCTCGCCTCCCAACCATGGGCCGCTTGTTGAGAGTCGCTGCTTCCGCTCATCCTCTGTCAGGTCAGAGACAATGGATGAAACTAAAGATACACCTTTTAATTTTACCTGCTGTGATATCAGGCAATAGCAACAGGCATCAGCTGGCATAGCTTTTCATCGTTCGCGCGTGGGTTAACGAGAGTAAAAGTTAGGTGTGAGTAAAAGACAGCGGCCTTCTCTAGTTATTTGTGAAGATAAATATCCATTGGTAAGTGGATGTTTTCGAGCACATCAGCGCTCTGGTGAAGTACGGCTGCGGCTTTGTGTGCGACGGACATCGGTTATTCCGAGAATGATAATCACTGGAACTGCTATGAGCATTATTAGGATTTACCTTCTCTACATCTTATCGTGAATCGCATGGGGAGCGTTAAGTCAATACGGAATAAATGCATCCGTCATAATGGAGCGCTTTTTTGTGGCCAAAAGCGGTAATCAAATGAGGGCAATCCTGCATGATCCCTGCAGCGTTTCGATTAGGAGGAGCTACAATTCATTTTTGCAGATTCTAAACCCCACAGTCCGTACAAACGTTAAATATGCTGCCGAACTAATCTACACCTCACAGAAACACAAAGGGGTTTAGCGTCATGGGTGGCAATTTCGTTGTACTTGGGGCGAATCGCGACGTTCATCCGTAGTGACCTGTAGCGCGCCGTTTATTTGCCATTTATTTGCCTGCGTCCCTAACAAACAACAAATTGATTGATACTTAACTGCCCAGTAGCCATTGGCTATTTGCATGCTGGGTATACAGTTTTAAAGAGCCTCGTGTAAAGTTTCCAACCGGGAACAACGAGTCCAGTCACAAGCGCAATGGAGGTAGCTTTTTTCAGCCAATATTTTCAATGCTATAGACGCCATGGGTTTGTGTTAATCCCTATCCGGACGTCGTGAAACCCCTGATGCAGCCGTGTCCACCGTGCGGTCGTTGAAAGCCACTTGGCCTGTTTCTCTTGACCATAGCATGGCGGCCTCGATTCGAGTCTCTGTTCGAAAACCGTTTTTTGCCATACCGGAGCCGCGCCGCTGTTGTTATGCATTCGTCGTGTAGAAGGAATGCATGTTGATTAAGTGCTCGTCCTGTAGTGTAGTACGGCAAGTGCGGCGCGGGAGGAGCAGACCGGAATTGGCCAGAGGACAGTGACTGATACGGTAGTGCGTTACAAAGATTAGCTGGGAACAAAGCGCTGAATCCAGACAACGCTAGTTCGCCAGTCAACCGTGCAAGCAAGCGCAAGTCAGAACGTCGTCTGTTGGGGATTTTGAATTGTTTAAATAGTGACTTACTTTGTATTCGGGACCCAGCTCAATAGTAAAGTAGATAAGGCGATTTGACGTTGCTGGCATATCGGTCGCCAGTAACAGCGAAGTGATGGCAGAGCGCGAGCAATCGCGCGGCGGAGGCCAAGAAGGCTTGGAGGACATCCTCCAACAGCGGGACGAAGGAGGACACCAGAATGGCGGAGCACCTAGTTACCCGGAGGGGGCCGATGCGGTGAGTAACAGACGCCAGCTATTGCTCCGCGCGGTCAGACTGTAGGCACAGCCAGCCGCCGCAAGTTCTGTTATATCAAAGGCATGGGAGAGACCGGACCCAGTTTTAAAATAGCGGGAAAGGGATGCGCCGCCGCTGTTGTTTGACCAGGCTGGATTAGAAGCTACGGGTCAGGCTTAGCTTATGAAGAACACGAATCTGTAGACCGCGATGGCCGACTCAGAGTATTAGTGCTCGTGAGGTTGGGTCCGTTTCCGGTGGATGGCGCCGCGGCAGAGGGGTAGTTGCTTTGAGTTGGCGCAGCGGGGTCTGTAT